TAACCAGAGGATACATATAACAACCTGGATGAGAGTGAAAGCCACAACACTGAGTCTCTGCTGTGCAGGCCCAAACCATTTCATCACATTACTGCCTGGAAGTGTAGCCCTGAAGGCCATTAACACCACTATAGTTTTCCCCAGAACACAAGAGATACAGAGGACAAAGGTGATGCCGAATGCTGTGTGTCGCAGCATGCAGGACCACTCAGAGGGCCGGCCGATGAAGGTCAGAGAACACAGGAAACACAGAGTCAAGGAGAAGAGCAGCAGGAAGCTCAGCTCAGAGTTGTTGGCCCTGACAATAGGAGTTGTCCTGTATCTGAAGAAAATGGCTGCCACAACAGCAGTCATGCATGTTCCAAATAAGGCTGCTGCAGTGAGCAGTACTCCCATAATTTCTTCATATGATAGAAACTCTGCCTCCTTCTTTACACAGGCATCTCTTCTCTCATTGGACTAGGACTCGGAGTGGCATCGCTCACATGTGATAGAATCTGAAAAATTATATGAAAGCAGATGTCAGACTTGCACAGTAGATTTTTCTCTATTGTTAGTATAGCATGTGAATGACTGAGTTAATGCATGGATATATAAATGGACCTTGTGATAGCTAGATGCCACATTTATTAATTACCCAGATAGTTTCCATTTTTCACTTTGAATTTTTATAATAGCATCATCATATTAAGTATAAATATGACATGTTGACATTTGCAATGAGTTTTACACCGGATGCCCTTCCTGACGCAACCCTGACTTAAACACAGGCCGCAGCAGCAGGAGTGTTGCGCCCTAACCACTAGTCTAGCAGAGAACCACAACGTTTATGTAATGTTGCTTATTTCTCCATCTGCACATCTGATACAGTCATAGCAGCAGACAGGTTTTCCTTTCTGGAGAACCTTGCGAGTTCCTGGGGGACATTTCTTACTGCAAACTGACACAGGCACCTGCATAAATTAAATGAATAATATAAAAATATATAATCAGTATTCACTTTGAAAAGTTGTAAATTATTATTATTAATTTTGAGGCACTGAAATCAAAAATCTATAAAACAATAATATATTTAGGTTTTAATAACACTAGTATTTATATTTTATTGTAATTAATAACAAGTGATGACATGGTAGTTTACCTGGTTTGAGTTCTGTGCCCAAATTAGAGACTTTAATTGCAGACTCAGCTGTTTGTCTGCAGGTAAAGATGCATCATAGAGACCAATTGTGACAAAGTCCACAATGCCATTTTCTGTTGGCTGCCAGTTTATAATTTCATACTCTGCTGCTGGGTCTCCATTCTCATCAAAGTAAACCTCATCTCCTTCCTTGGTTTTGAAATGAACCTTTCTTATGTGCTGTAAAATCTAAGAA